CGGCGGGGAGGGGGGGGGGGAGGAGCCTGGTGTGAGGCTGAGGATGCATACTGGGCTGGTCGGTCCGAATATGGCAGATCGGACCGGCCTTTCTTCCTAGCGGGCCTGGCTCGGTAGGTCCCGCCTATTGCTGCTACCTTAGACTAAAAAAAGCCTATTGCTACCTATCTATATTTTTGTGTCAAAAAAACCTATCTATATTTATGGTCTGATTTTTTAACAAGTAAACAATGATGTGAGGCGTATGTTGAAATGCGACTTGTACAAAAAAGACAAATTTATGATCTGGCAGGATGTATAGTATCATGTGTTAAAAAGTCCCAAATTTGACTTTTTTGCACAGCTCTCATTTCAACGTAATTTGTCATGAAAATATTACCCATCAACGCCACCTATAAGTGATAAAAAAAAGTTTTACACAGGAAAATCCCCCACCTGGGCCGGCCCATGCAGTAGGGACCTCCTATACCGCGCTCTACACTAAGAGAATACACAGCTGCCCATTTGGGCCGAACCCACTTCAGGGTGGCCTTTTTTAAAATTTCATTTTTTATCTTTTATTTTTACTTTCCATTTTAGTTTTTTTCAATATTAAATAATTTGGGACTTCAAAAAGTTCCAAAATAATAAAAAAATGAGAATTCTGAAGTAAAATATGTAATAAATAATAAAGGTTTGTGGATTCAAAAAATGTTCTCGATTTTGTAAACAAAGGTTAGAATTTCAGTATCTTAGTATCTTCATTGTCCAACAAACTATAAAAGGTCATAAGTTTGGTTGTCTGGCCATTTGTGTGTGCACCCGTGTAAACGATCCTTGGACATTTCCCTTTTTTAGATCTCTGAAGCACCTTGAGCTAGTAATCCAACCTACAATGTCACTTTTTGCATGAAAAATGCTCAAAAGAAAATATTTTGAATATTTTCCTAACATTCTTGTGAATCTGCACTTGAAAGTTCTAATTTTTGCAGCAAACAATGCAGAGAAACAAGAGTAACAAGTACGGAGTTGTAGATCATACAAAGGATCGGTGGTGATTCATCAGTCATGGTTCAAGAACGACATGGAAATTGAAACTAAGCACGACATGTCCGCATAATAGTAGAACCAGAGCAAGAGAAGAAAGTTGATTAGCAGGTTGACAACGACGCCTGCTAATAGAGAATCTACACGTGCATCCTTTTGCCACTTCCGAAGCCCCACATCCACGAGCTCGACATGCTCACCTACCATCCTGGCCGACGTCCTCGCCATCTCCCCATGCCTCACAACCACCTCGTTAGCTGCTGCCAGAGGAGAGCACATTAAACCCATTAAGCTACGCATAAAGGGCGGCCAACCAGCTATGCCACATGGTGCAAGCTGGTTGGCCGCGGTGAGAAATCTTTTGAAATTATTTTAGATGAAGGTGCGGATTATTTTTTAAATGTATTTTTTTCTTTTTAGATGGAGGTGAGGACCTCTGATATTTTTTTTAAAAAAGTGGCACTCGCTGATAGGTTGCGGTGGTAATTTATTTTCCTTTTTACTTCTTCTTTTAGATGAAGGTGAGGATTTTTTTTCTAAGATGAAGGCGAGAACTCTATGTTCTTTTTTAAATGAAAACATGCACACCACTTTTTCTTAAGCGACGCCACAGGGTGGCACCCCAACCACTAGTTGGCAGACCAAGATGAGGAGAGCCCATAGCACACCCAAGGTAATATTTTCAGTCACACTTACAAACAAGTTTTTCCTATGAAAACACAACTGTCGTTTCTGGTCAGCATGTTCCTCCCAGGCATCAACACCGTGCAATCAGGTGCACCAAAGGGTGAGGTAGCACTTGCTGTTGTTTTATTTGATTTTGCCAAGGCATTACATACATAATTGTAGCCCGGCCTAAGCTTTTTAGAAATACACACGTTTCTCTAGGAAGTGTGAATATGGTCTAACTCTTCTTAGTTTGGATATGCTCTGACTCTTCATGACGAGGAGTATATATTTATCTTAGAAATTTGTCAGTGGGGAGAAGATGCAGCCCATCCGTTTTGGACGGCCTGTTTTTTAAATTTTGTATTTTTTTTCCTTTTTATTTTCCATTTCGTTTTTTCAACTTTAAATAATTTGGGACTTCAAAAAGTTCCAAAATTTTAAAAATAATTTTTAAATAAAATTATTTAATAAATCATAAAAAAATCGTGGATTTAAAAATTATTCAAGATTTTATTTAAAAATGTTTGAAAAATATTCAAAATTTTGAAAACAAATGTTCAGGAAATCCAAAAATATTCATGTATTAAAAATGTTAATGAAATTGAACAAAAATTTCACGCATTCAAAAAGTGTTCATGAATGGAAAAATATCCTAAAAATTCAAAAACTGTTCGTGACTTAAAAAATAGTTTATTCATTTATAAAAGGTTTGTTGACTCAATAACTGATCTTGCATTTCAAAAAATGTTTGTTAAATAAAGAAAATGTTCGTGAATTTCAAAAAATGTTGCACCAATTTCCAAAACAATGTTCTTCGATTCTAGAAATGTCCGCCAATTCAAGAAAATTGTCAAACAATGTTTGCAAATAGTATAAAATGTTCATGAATTCAAAAATATTCTTGATTTTAGAAAATGTCGATTTTTTTAAAAGTGTTCATGAATTTGAAAATTGTTCATAATTTAAGATATGTTCGCGAGTTAAAAAAATGTTAATGATTTCATGAAATTGAGAGTGATAGTGTATCTCGGTGATGCAACAATATATGATCAGGCCATTGGAGATTATAATTTTTTTCTCCCGTTGCAACGCACGGACCCTTTTGCTAGTATCTAATACCTATTCCTAATCTTTACCTAATATTAATGAGAGGAAGCTTTCATAGTTCTTCATACGTCATTCTTTTATATCCGTTGATTTTATGTTAATTATAAAGATTGACCGCTGAGATTTAATTGAGGAATCCTCCTATCCCGATAGAAGAAAAACAGACGAGGAGAGCACGGGCACGTCTCCTTTCTCCCTTTTCCTGTACGGCCTACTATATAGGAGTACATTCTTTGAAAAAGATTAAATATTACACGAACAAAAGGTTAAAAAAATTATTATATACGAGCAAATGAAAACATCACGCGCACGATCCCTTTGTCCTCCGCATGCACGAAGACGACGCCATGTCGTCGCTGCTAGTACTCCTCACCTCACCCTAGACCGGAATCAAAGTCGTTGCCGAGGGATGGAGGCCACGGGGGAACGCTGGTGGAGATGCGCCATGACCATGTGGGGATTGGTGTCGGGTGGCTGCGGGCGCGCCTCTCCCCTAATCCCCTTTCCTCTCCATGACGGCACATGCCAGTGGCCTCTCAAGCTCTCTCTTCCTTCCCCTCCTCCATCTAGCACCGGCCGGACGATGCCGCCTCACCTTCCACAGGCAGGTCCCCTCGACCTTGGCTAGACAGGTCCGGCCCTGAGGGGGGGCGAGAGGGGCGGCCGCCCCGGGCCCCCGAGTACGAAAGGTCATTTTAACTCCCTCAAAATCTATGTACTGAATAATTTTAAAATTATCATCAGCTTGCTCAAGCAGCCTGAATTTGACGCCTCATCTGTTAGATCTGCAGAATCAGCTGGCAATTGGCTGCAACCTTCATCTCTAAAACTAAATTATAGTACAACACTTTGGTTATTCAGTCCCCTTAGGACACAATTACTTTCAAATCGTTCAACTACAACTGCACTTGTCAAAAATTCAGAACAGTGCCATGCTACTAAGTTGGAACTTAGGACGTGCCACTCCCACCAACTTGGCAACCAAGACAAGATGGAAATGCTATTAATTCTGCTACCACTACATTATCAATTAGCTTTAATCGTCTCAGTGCCGGTTCATTCTAGCAAATTGTTGATTTGTACGGTTTTGGAAATTGATGAGATACTGGATTTACTGATGTGGGAATTGTCTATTTGAATTTTCTACATTAGTAGATTACCAGCGACAGCAAGGCACGGCGATGGCCGGTGGTGGAGAAGACATTCAGCCTTTTCAGCTATGCTGTCGACCACCGAGTATTGACTACAAATACTACTCACAGAATATCTTCAGGTGAATTTGCTGGGGCTTGAGCGAGGGGAATGGAATGGGAGACGACGACACAAGTGTTGAAGGCTAGGGATTTGGGAGCCAAGGATGTGACGACGTGGAATGAGATGGGGGACGACAGTGCAAGCGAGATGTAGGAGGGTAAAATTGGAAACCAACAAAATTTCATAACATGACAAGATTTGTATGTGGAAGGCTAAAACATCTTACATATGTGAACATAGGTAGTATTAGTTTACAATGGCTCCCAATCTGAGCCTAAGATGTCATTTACCATGAAGGTAGGCCATTCTAGAATTGGATTCTTTTTCCCATAGCAATTCATTTTTGCCAATTCTGGGAAAGTTGATCACCTAATTTCATGCACGTCAAAATAAATAGAAATGAAAGCAACGAATAATGAGCAAAGAGCACCTCTATCTAACCCTTATTACAGTGTAGGCGCTACTAGAGCAAATACATCAACTAAAACAATCACTAGTTCCAATATTAATTTAAGAAAATAAGATCCAGCTACAACTTCATAACCAAATATAACTACACTTGACATCATTGTTCAACAGCATGATCAACCACGCAAACATTAATTTAAGGAAACAAGATCCTACTTGACATCATTGTTCGACATCATGATCAACTGCGCAGGACTCCAGAAACTCAGGATAGTAGACTTGCCATTGATTTCAACTGCAGAGTGCCCAGAATAGTTCATTACTTAAAGCATTTGGCATTAATATGTCCCTGTGACGTCGTTGCACTCCCAAGACTGGGGCATGTTAGCTCAACCAGGCCCTGAGAACATGACAGGCTAGCTCAACAAGACTCTTATTCCTTGGGGACACAACGCCCTCGAAAACTAGCACATGCTGCATTAGTTCATTGGATACCTAAAGATGAAAAGACAACCTTCATTCAGTTAACGATTACACACCATAACTAAGTACCAACATATTTGCAGGACACTGAGAAACTTACATGCGAGATGAAAGTCTCCAATGAAAGAGAAGCACCAAAGATAGAAGCCAGAGAAGAACAATCAAAGATCCGACCAAAGAGCAAATCTTCAAGATAGATACTCAGAGAATTCAGGCCAGCAAGTTTAATAGGTAACGTTGGTGAGACCATCTGCAAAAATGATGTCAGGTCAATTGCATTTCACAAGTACTAACTTATGTAATCCCATAAATAAAACAGTAGTTTTAGAGCATACCTCCCTGCTTGACGTGCTGGACACCAGCTCTGCTCGAGTGTAACAGATCAATTCGGTGCTGTTCACTAGTAAGTTCTTCACTTGCAATGCTTCTCCGAGTGAGACTCGAACTTTGAGGTTACCTTTAAACTGAAAACTGGAGAGATTTGGAGCTCTGCTCTCTATCAACCGCAGCTCGCTGCAACGTAACACCTTCAAGTGGCTTAACCGCTCAAGATGGCAAGGTATCCTCAAGCAGTCTACCTTACTGCAATCCCTGAGTAAAACCTGCTCTAAAGCTGCAGAACTGGAAACAAGGCAGCTTAGCTCGTCCCCTGTAATACCCACCCTTAACAGCTCTAGTTTTGTCAGGCTACTCAAGCCACAGTGCCCAGCCATAGGATGAAAGGAACAATCGGAAAGGTAAAGACACCGGAGCGAGTTTCCCAGCCCATTTGATATAAGTGTGCACGGGAACTCGTATTTGCGTTTGTTGCTCATAGCCATAATAGTAAGGGTGAGTTCTTCAATTCCTGGTTTAACAGCCTTATGAAGCCATTTGTCGATATAATCACGGTCCTTCGCTTTGTCATTTGGAACAAACCGAAGTTTCAGTATTCTCACGCCAGTGCCCGAGTGGTTTTCCAGAATGTGGTCAATTTTGTTTCTAAAAGCTCTAGCTGTTTCCTTGTAATCCGCATATACGTCCAACCCAAATGCTTCCCAGTTCAAAATGAGGATCGAATGGCATCTCCAGGAAGACAGAAAGGACCGCGACAGGCAGGCGGCTCTGGCAGCATCTTTCAATGGCATTAAGGAGTGTATATGATGCCAGATGTCCTGCAAGCGCAAGCATGAGAGGGAGTTAAACATCAGCAATGTAAGATACATGCGCATGATATCACAAAGTGCACCAATGCTGCAGAGATACACCATGCGTTGGAACAAAGGTTGGGTATATTGAGCATCTTTTCCAAAGTGTTGGTTATGGTTTTTGCTAAGAAAGGTAGACGCCGCTGTTACCTGGTATGATCCTACTTTATTTAGGCATGGAGCAAAGCACTGAGCAAATATTCGTCTGTGCATCTCGTTAACCAAGATGCACAGGCAGAATATACACTTGAATGGTAAAAATTAAGACAGAGTGTCAGAAGTAAAGGTGTATGCATGCTGCACAAAGAACACATTTGATACAACTCGACAGCGCTAACAGCTAGGTCACGATATACAGCAAACAAAACCTGAGTCACTAAGATGATGAGATGATAGGTTGAAAATGCCAGATAAATGATGCCTATGCACTTCAAAAGTTGCAATGTATTGCTTCCAATGGGAATCTGCCTGCCTGCCTAGTTCTATTCATGAGGAAAGAAAGCAGCCTAGTTATTATTACTACAATTGTGCGTTCCAAGAAGCTAGAGATTCAAATACTTGTGACAGGTTGCCATTGAAGCAGACCAAGTAGTAGTAAGTAATACTGTTGTTCGCGAAAGGAAGCTGCATTTATCAACTACATGATACCTCTGGAAGATTTGGCTCTGAACACTCCTCTGTTTGAGCAGTACCACCTTGTTGGCAGGGTGAGGCCTCTGCGTTTGCCTGACCATTTGCATAAGTTGATGCACCCGGAACACAATCTTGCTGGCAGGGTGAGGCCTTTATTCTTTTACCGCTTGACGAACCAGCAATCAATCCATCTGTGAATCATCGGCATGATTACTTATGGATAATATGGACAGTAGCAGCAGAGCGAACTTAGTAATACCAAACCGTTATCATTAGATTCGTCATGAAATATATTTCTATATTTTGTTTATTTAGCACTGTAATGTTGATATATTTTGCTATGAACTTGGTCAAAATAGGTAAACTGAGCAACACGACACAGTCCACGTCGATGGGCAAACTAAACAGCACACTCGGCAAACAAATTGTATACCTGAGACTTTCTTGCTCCTTGTCATATCTGTCATCGCGGATCTGCACCCTCTTGTGCTTGTGCTTGGGCACCTCCGCGAGCAGCTTGTCGTGCGCGCGGCCTGGTCGAATCGAACAGCACCCTCTTCTGCTTCCCTTTCACCTCTGCAACCTCCACACGGCATGATAAAACAAAGTGAGAGGGGGTGTGGTGCTGGGGTGGGCGGCCGGAGGCGGGGAATGGCTGATCCGGGAGCGGGGCCTCGTACCTGGAGCGGCGGCTGGACCGTACGAGGATGGTGCGGAATAAATTATTACTTGACGAAAATACCCACGCATGGTGCGGTGCGGGCCGCGCGGCTGTGTTCTGTGGTGACGAAAATACCCTCCTATGGTGCGCTATTTGTGGCTTTCAGTCTGAATTCGTGGAGCGGGAAAGCTTTTAGGTGTGGCCGAAGGACACTTGCAGCTGGTTTCGACAATTTGGACATCATTTTTTGGGGGGATACCCTAAAGGTTTCAATCTTGAATTCCTAGCTCCTCGCATATTGATGATGGTTTTAGTTAGAACCCTAACTCATGTGTCAAACATAGAAGATGGGTCATGGTTAGTTTCTTATAAGAGAATAAAACAAACGGGCGAGGCGCACGGTGAAATTAGCAAAACCTTTAGATCAAGCCAAGATGGAAGACGGTGTAAAATAAAATGTCAGCATGGTTCTTCATAGAGAAATCCATAATATTCGATCATGCCCACCAAACAAGGGGTTAAATGTCAAGATCACTACAAGGATAAACTACAAGGGTTTGTGCTAGGAGTTGAACAAACTTTGACTTTTTGAACAATGGGAGGGGAATGTGGTTATGCTCTGGATTGGGTGGATAGACACAACACAATTTAAGATTTCATGGTAGTAAAGTGACATCTAGCATGTCATTAACACTTAACAATCAAGCTAAATAGGCTTCGAAACCAAATGGTTCTAAGATCGCACCATGTTCTCATACATGTTCTAAGGTCAAACCATGTTAAACCAAACGGTTCTAAGATTATTGCATGTTCTTGGATCACCGAATTCGTGGACAACTTCTCATGTGTCATCTTCATGGGGACACCTGCAAATGGACGGGGTGGATATGACCAGACATGTGATTATGCAAGAAAGATGAAGGAAAGCACACATGTATGCATGTACAATATAGTCAATATTTAGGAAAGATAATTAACCAATGGAACTCTTCAAAAACAATGTGATAATACATGATCAAGTGTTTTTTATCGGTGTTGTTTAGCTTCTGCTCATTGGTCACATTAACTCCAGATCCTACCACAAGCAGAAGTAGAAACACATGGAAAACAGAGCAAATCAAGTCATTCCCCATACGTGCTTGTCTTTCCTCCTCAAGAAAAAGTCGTCTCCCTCCCCCATTTCCTTTCGGCCGTGGAGATACAGAGGATCTCGGCCTCCCGCCGATGGGGTTGTACCCCGATCTCGTTTTTGTTAGGTTCAGCATCCTGGTTGGGGTTGTGTGGCGGTGGTGATGTCCTTAGTAGGAAAAGGTCTCCCACGTGCAATCCCCATCCCGCTTGTGCACCTACCATTGTAGGAGGGTGTGTGGAGGCGTGTCTCCGTCGGATCTCGCAGGATTCGGTCGCTGCTGGTCTTCAGTGGATCTATTTCGATCTAGTTTCTTTCGTCTTCGTTCGTGTGGTTACATGCTTTATCTTTCCGATCTATGACTCTCTTCATTACCGATGGTTGCTGCTCTTGTGCGTTGGTCCTTTAGGGCCTTAGCAGGATGAATTCCCAATTGTCTACTATAATATAAGGTTTTCTCGGCTCCGGTGAGGAAGGGGCCATGACGGTAGCGTGCCTTCGGCTCGCTCCAGTGCTTGTAGTTCTCGCTAGGTGATCCATGGACATGGCTGTAATTTTTATTACCTCTAGTATTCTTTGTACTATCATGACTGATTATGAATATATCAAAAATTTCTCTCGCAAAAAAGAGAGCAAACCAAGATTTGGTATGGCATATGGTTTTGCAAAACTGACCTTATATAACCAAAAAATAACATTAATTGAAGTTAAATGCACCAGTTGTATCCTCTCTCATGGCTCCAATAATTAATTATTATTAGTAAACATTATATTCAAGTTATTGTGACATGAAAAAAATACTATTTTATGAACAATTTGATACATTAATCATAATTTTTCGAGTTCATATGAATTTATTATGATCTTGGAAGTTTAAATATCATTTAAAGGATGCGGCCCCACACATCGCAACTTTTTAGTTACTTAGGGAACTCTTTAGTATTTGGATTAAGCTGCAGGGCCTACATGCCCGCCTCTATTGGCAATGTTGGTTAGCATCATTTGGTAATCACCTAACCAGTCGGGCAAACAGTTGGTGGCACACCAGCGGGTACGCAAACATGGCGGCTGTATAGTGGAGCTGACGAGAGCGAACAAGGCGAGATGGGCATGCGGCCAAACCAAGGTTTCGACTTTTGAAACCAATAAATTTTCGCTCACCCTCAAAAGCACCGAAATTTCATAAATATCGAAAACCATTCTGAGTAGATTAATGAATTTTTTATTTAAATTTGGATAAATTTGAATTTAAAGTATTGAATAAAGTAGTGTGAGCCGAGGCGAGGCCGCCCCGACCTAGGGGAAATGCTGATAGGATCACCGTGAGCACGTACTTGAGGTCTGGTATGGCGGAAACATCGGCATCCATGGCTCTGGCAAACAGCGATGGCTCCAAGCATAGCTATTCAAAGACATAAGCTATTAAAACTTAATAAACACCTTAAGACATATGTGAGGCAGATGCTAAGGACTCTTGTAAAGCCTTGAAGTTACTACAATTACTAAAAAAGAGAATGATAAAAAGAACTTCATACATGGTGTAGAACCTAATGAAACTGTAGGGTTCTTCTTTTTTACCACACAAGCTGTAGAATCTAACCATGGAAAGAACAAATTCCAAACAAACCAAACATGAGCATAGGATGTAGGAATATACATAAACCAGTTTGATACAACCATGGAAAGAACAAATTCAATTATTGCATTACAACCCTGTTCTCAAGTTTCTTATGGACATGTTCTCAAGTACCTTAGAGATGGTTTTCACTTCCAGTGAGGTTCCGATGAAATTCAGTAATTCTAGTAGATGCTGAAATAATTATGTATTGGCCAAAAAAATTCGGCAATTTCATTAGTGCACATGAATTCAAATAGTTTTAAAACAATTCAAACATTTAATTGAATTCAAGCAAAAATTCAGTCATTTGGCCAAAATGGAAACCGAAAACACTGAAATTCACTGAACTTCCGTAATTTTGCTTGGTGCTGAAATTTTCCCGAAACTAGAGTTGAAAACCTTTCTTACATCAACTTTGGCATTACATTCATGTTCTCAAGTTCCTTACAACCATTCTTGAATTACAACCATATTTTCAAGTTCCTTACAACCATTCTTGCAATGAGTCCCTGCACAAGATTAAAGACCATTGAGTCCCTTCTAAAGATTAAAGACCTGGAACAATATTCACATATATGAACACATGGCATAAAATTCAAAGATACGAACACATGAGATAACATTCAGACAGATGTGAACACAGAAGAGAAAATTCACAGAAATGAACATAGGAGATAAAATTGAGAGAGATGTGAACACAGAAGATAAAATTCACAAACCTGGAACTACTAATCATCATCACCAACAACAGGAATACTGTGACTATTGATCTTCATTGTCACCACACTATTGCATCATAGTATCATCATGGTCATCATCATCTTCGCTTTCCTCCATTAATTCATTATGTTGTTTGACAAGTTTTCCTACTACAGTGGGATCAATCAAAGAGTGTTCTTGGTCTTTACGCAACATATTCAACACAGACGGTTCATTAGCTCTCACCATTGTTGGGGAACGTAGCATAAATTCAAAATTTTCCTACGTGTCACCAAGATCTATCTATGGAGTCATCTAGCAACGAGGGAGGAGTGGATCTACATACCCCTGTAGATCGCACGCGGAAGCGTTCAAGAGAACGGGGTTGATGGAGTCGTACTCGTCGTGATCCAAATCACCGATGATCCTAGCGCCGAACAGACGGCACCTCCGCGTTCAACACACGTATGGAGCAGAGACGTCTCCTCCTTCTTGATCCAGCAAGGGGAAGGAGAGGTTGGTGGAGATCCAGCAGCACGACGGCGTGGTGGTGGAAGTAGCGGGATTCCAACAGGGCTTCGCCAAGCGCTGCGGGAGGAGGGAGATGTGTCATGGGAGGGAGAGGGAGGCGCCAGGGCTTAGGTGTTGCTGCCCTCCCTTCCCCCACTATATATAGGGCCAAGGGAGAGGGGGGGGGGTGCAGCCTTGGCCCTTCCTCCAAGGAAGGATGCGGCCAAGGGAGGAGTCCATCCTCCCCAAGGCACCTAGGAGGTGCCTTCCCCCTTTAGGACTCTTCCTTTCCCTCTTCTCTTGGCGCATGGGCCTCTTGGGGCTGGTGCCCTTTGCCCATATAGGCCAAGGCGCACCCCCTACAGCCCATGTGGCCCCCGGGGCAGGTGGCCCCACCCGGTGGACCCCCGGGACCCTTTCGGTGGTCCCGATACAATACCGGTGACCCCGAAACTTGTCCCGATGGCCGAAATAGCACTTCCTATATATAATTCTTTACCTCCGGACCATTCCGGAACTCCTCGTGACGTCCGGGATCTCATCCGGGACTCCGAACAACTTTCGGGTTACCGCATACTAATATCTCTATAACCCTAGCGTCACCGAACCTTAAGTGTGTAGACCCTACGGGTTCGGGAGACATGCAGACATGACCGAGATGACTCTTCGGTGAATAACCAACAGCGGGATCTGGATACCCATGTTGGCTCCCACATGTTCCACGACGATCTCATCGGATGAACCACGATGTGAAGGACTTAATCAATCCCGTATACAATTCCCTTTGTCTAGCGGTACGATACTTGCCCGAGATTCGATCGTCGGTATCCCGATACCTTGTTCAATCTCG